ATTTCCTGGAGCTGTACATCCCATTTCCTGGAGCTGTACATCCCATTTCCTGGAGCTGTACATCCCATTTATTTCCTGGAGCTGTACATCCCATTTCCTGGATCTCTACATCCCATTTCCTGGAGCTGTACATCCCATTTCTGGGACCTGTACATCCCATTTATTTCCTGGGAGCTGCACCACACACCCAGCAGTGTTTCAGGTTTCAGAAACCACGGAAAGAACAAATCAAAGATCAGCATTTCAAACCCAGCACTTGCAGGTTTGTTTTTCTTTTCCTAAAACCTGAATATTGTCCCCCCAAAGTCCAAAATCAGGGGGAGCCAAGAACAAAATCCTTGGCAGATAAATTTCCATTTTATTTTTTTTTATTTTTTTCCTTTTTAAACTGAATGTTGCTCTCAAGTTCAAAATCAAGGACAGTCTGTGATGCAAGAACAAAATCCTTGGCAGACATAACACTAATTCAAAACATCATTTTATTTATTTTTTTTTAACTGAATGCTGGGTTTTGGTTGGTTGGTTTAGTATTTAAAAAATGAAGAGATTTTTTTTTTATTATTATTCATCTTGTTCTCCAATATCTTCGTTCAAACTTTCAGCTGATACATCCCAGAGCAGAAAACACATCAGAAATTGAGATTTTAAGGGAAATTTACGAGATTTTTTAAGCAGATAAACACGAATTTACACATATTCACATTTGACAATGTTCTGACATCCACAGATATATTAATTTTATCACAAAGCAATGTGAGGTTTCCTGTTTGTTTTTTATTATTTAAACCAGATGTGTTTTGACATCTTTTCAAAGCTCTGCCATCCAGCCTGGACAGCCACTTTGGGTAAAAAAATTCACATTTCTGCATTCAACCCCAACTAAATCAAGGAAATAATCGAGCTACCTGATGTTCCCCAAGCACTGTCTCTCCACTGATCTCCCAGAAATATCCCTTTTGGTCCATCTTTGCTGGAATCATCAGATTCCCAAAACTTTTTACCCGGCAACAGCTGCTGCAATTAAAACAAAACAACAACAACAAAACAACAAAACAAAACAAAAAAGAACAAAACAAAGCAAAGCATGATTAAAATAAGTATAAAATGCAAACATAAACCGTAAGCATCTCCCTTCTATCAGGTACCAATCATTAAATACAACTGATATAATCCCAATTTTGGTATCTCTGAGGTGAAAGCTGAGGGAACAATTCCATCTCTCCCCATTCCTGCTTTTCCTCCCCGCTCCAGGAGCCCCCCACACCTCAGACACTCTCACACCGACACTCTCCAGCCTCTCTGCACTCGCAGGGAAAAATCAAGGAGGGGGAAAAAATTTGGGATCCAAACCTTGTCCTGAGCTCACCTGGGAGCACAAATTCCTGCCTCCCCATGGGAGCTGCTGCTGCTGCTGGAGGGATGGGAAAACAGGGATGGAAAAGCTCGGGAATTCTCATTTCTCCCTCCTGCTGAGGAGGCTGGGGGCGGCTTGGGAACACTGAGGGGAGGGAGGGCAGCATCTGCCAGGGTGGGGAATGGGAAAAGGTCCCTGGGAATGGGAAAAGGTCCCTGGGAAAGGGAAAAGGTCCCTGGGAAAGGGAAAAGGTCCTTGGGAATGGGAAAAGGTCCTTGGGAACGGGAAAAGGTCCTTGGGAATGGGAAAAGGTCCCTGGGAATGGGAAAAGGTCCTTGGGAATGGGAAAAGGTCCTTGGGAATGGGAAAAGGTCCTTGGGAATGGGAAAAGGTCCCTGGGAACGGGAAAAGGTCCTTGGGAACGGGAAAAGGTCCTTGGGAACGGGAAAAGGTCCTTGGGAACGGGAAAAGGTCCTTGGGAATGGGAAAAGGTCCCTGGGAATGGGAAAAGGTCCCTGGGAATGGGAAAAGGTCCTTGGGAATGGGAAAAGGTCCTTGGGAATGGGAAAAGGTCCTTGGGAACGGGAAAAGGTCCTTGGGAATGGGAAAAGGTCCTCGGGAATGGGAAAAGGTCCCTGGGAATGGGAAAAGGTCCTTGGGAACGGGAAAAGGTCCCTGGGAACGGGAAAAGGTCCTTGGGAACGGGAAAAGGTCCTTGGGAACGGGAAAAGGTCCTTGGGAATGGGAAAAGGTCCTTGGGAACGGGAAAAGGTCCCTGGGAATGGGAAAAGGTCCCTGGGAATGGGAAAGGGTCCCAGGGAACGGAGCCATCCCAGGGCTGGGACAGCCCAGGGTCCCAGCTCTGGAGGACAGAGAAAACAATTCCCATTCTTCAGGGGATTTTGGGATTCACAGGGATCACCTCCAGCCAGGAATTCCTGAGCTAGCATGGGGACAATATCCCAGTAAATCCTCTGGGTAGGATGGATGGAATTCCCAGGGGGAATAGCAGCACATTCACAGCAAATTAACCACGAAATGAGCCTTGCCTCAAGCTGGGATAAAACTCAGGGAACTGAAGATGAAAAGAACCTGAATGTGCCTGAAATTACCATGGATCAAACAGGAATCATCAGATATGGGATCTCTCCTCTGTATCAGGAGTGTGGTAATTCCTGACTGGTTTCAATGTCCTGATAACTTCAACACCTTGATGTGGAATCAAATTCAATATCCTGAGAACTCCAACACCTTGATTTGGTATCAAATCCAATACCCTGATAACCTGATCAATACGTTGATTTGGTATCAAATCCAATACCCTGATAACCTGATCAATACGTTGATTTGGTATCAAATTCAATATCCTGATAACAACTTCAACACCTTGATTTGGAATCAAATTCAATATCCTGATAACAACTTCAATACCTTGAGATTTGGAATCAAATTCAATATCCTGATAATTCCAACACCTTGATTTGGTATCAAATCCAATACCCTGATAACCTGATCAATACCTTGATTTGGTATCAATACCCTGATAACCTGACCAATACCTTGATTTGGTATCAAATTCAATATCCTGATAACCTGATCAACACCTTGATTTGGAATCAAATTCAATACCCTGACAACCTGATCAATACCCTGATCTGGTATCAAATCCAATGTCCTGATAACCACTCCAACAACTTGATTTGGTATCAATACCCTGATAACCTGATCAATACCCTGATCTGGTATCAAATTCAGTGTCGTGGCTGACAGCAGCTCGTGCTGAGATCTCTGGGTGCAGATTTTGGGCTGAACTCCAGGAGTCAGTCAGTCAGTCAGTCAGTCAGTCAGTCAGTCAGTCTGTCAGTCAGTCTGTCAGTCAGGCAGTCAGTCAGGCAGTCAGTCAGGCAGTCAGTCAGTCAGTCTGTCTGTCAGGCAGTCAGTCAGGCAGTCAGTCAGGCAGTCTGTCAGTCAGGCAGTCAGTCAGTCTGTCAGTCAGGCAGTCAGTCAGTCAGTCTGTCAGTCAGTCTGTCAGTCAGTCTGTCAGTCAGTCTGTCAGTCAG